TCCCAAATTGGATTTCTTAATTAGACTACAAGCAGAAACAAAAGCATTTGTAATGCTAGTGCATTCAATCCCACTCAAAATAATCGGAAGAGACTCACACAATGATGATCGAGTGGGGTCTGGTCTGGCGATTTTCACCGTGACCGGACTGTGAACAGTAGGCGAAATTGCGCTGAGTGAGAATATTCTTCTTATGGAATCCATCCCCATTTTGCGGGTGGCATCACTCCGATGGGAGACGTCCCGTCTGCTGAAGAGTGTAATGTCTGTGGGGGGTGATGGTGAATCGACTCGCAGCGCTCACAGGGTCCCTGATGATAGCGAAAACTTCAATTAGTTAGTTCTTCAAAAAATCTTTGACAAAAGTTCATATGTATATTAGGGCTGGGTGGTATATAAACTCTGTACAATATATACATTTTTTATTAATGATAGAAATGAGGCAATACCATTTATATAAATATACAGTAGTTTGATACGAGTACATCTCAAAAATAGCGGAGAACACAATAAGCTGCTGCGTGGAACGTGCATATTAAAATTAGTACTAAACATGCTTTATTTTAAGGGCTTTAAGATAACTTGTAAGACACAGATAGATAACATCTATAATTTAAAGCAGTCTGTCCTGTCTTGTGCTCTGAATCTGACAGATAGCTGTGATGTTTTAATGTGTTTGAGATGTAGTGTTTTCCCTCAGACAGTAACATTTCACAAATTCTCCTATAAATGTTAGATGTTAAATGTTAGTCATGCAAATATTTCCATTTTGCTGTAATCTTAGGCAGAATGTTATAGACTGGCAGCCACCCACAGCAACTATTCCTTATAAATCCACATACACATGTATACATTTGAGTGAGTGGGTATGCGCAAGTGTGTAAAATATATATATAGATTGATGCCCTGATACACATTGTATGTATCAGAGCATCCCAAAACGAGAAATTGTTATACTTTTAATACTAATAATTGTGTTAATATTCAAGACTTGAGTAATATAAAAACATTGGCTAAAAAAAAGTAATCCATTATGTTTCTAAATCCTAGTATTAGCAGTGTTAAGGAAATCAGCGATGCAAGTGCGTTTACGAAGCTGTCAAAATGCAGTTTCATATTATGTTGGAAGCTTTATGCAACCCTACACGTGTAGTGTCAGGCGTCCAAACTGGTGTAGGAGGAGCAGCGCGCCTGACCAGCTCCAGGAACTCCCACCATTTCAAATCATGGAGGGAAAACTGGCACAACGTAACATGTTAGAACAACCGAGAAAGCTAAACGTGTACAAACATTAGGCTGATAGACGCTACACGTGAACTGCTAACGTCATAGTGTAAAGAGCAGGTATAAACTGAAGTGCCTTCTGGCTGACAAGACAAAGCATTTAGTATTTACCCGAATGACAGTCTCCTGTTAGGGGTGTGCACAGCATGATTAGGTCGGGCGAGTCTCTCCCGGAGGTGATCTCTGGGGTGGACGAAAGCCCCCGAGCCTCCAGCGGGCCTCAAGGCGGCGGAGGGGCTTTCTTCAGCCTTGGCGAGGTAACTTCCCATGAGTAAATCCCGAGGGCTGAACACCGAGTCACTGAGCGTGTGTTCTCTTCTATAAAACGAGCCTGCAAAATGTCTATCGCTGGGTGACGCAAAGGAATTTCTAGCATCACTTTTACGTATCTTGTTTTTGCCTGCGGCCGGGACTCCGCTCAAAGTCCTACCCGGTAACCAGCGCAAAAGAGCCGGCGGGACGCTCAATCCACGGCGAGGATTGAGGCCTAGTCTCTCGAAGAGCTGCAGCTCCTCCGCTTTGTGAAAATAAACAACACAAGACGCGACACAGATAAAAAGTATGTACAAATAAGCTGGTATGTAGCTCAAAACGAGTAAAAGGAGGAATAACGAGAAGACCACAGCGGAGAAAACGACTAGCCGCCGTTTATCTTCAGGAGACATGGCGGCACCGCGCCGCCGACGGAAGATATCCCATAATTCACCGCGTCCGCGCGCGTTGTTTACGTCTCGTGGATGTTCGTGACCAAGCGTGCACGTTAGATTTATATTTGTTTATATTACACATGTATTGCACAAATACTACACAGTAGTCACAGTAATATTTGTATCTTATAACTACTCACTGTATTATAGCTTGTTTTACCAACCTTTTTTACAACGAGAACTTAAAACGAAACGTACGTATGCTCTAAAAATGTAACTCAATGCTAAATATTGCTTTTGAGTTGTTATTTAATATTAGTTTTAATAAAATTTTGACTAACCCAACCATTTTTGTATTAAATTTAAACTTTATTGGCATCGCTGTTACTTACAATGTTAACAAATTAGTAATAGGCTACACACAATATAATCTGTGAGAAAATAAAATGCCATTGATGCTAATTAAATAATTATAAAATGCGACAATCAACAAGACGTTAATAAACATTACAAAACACGAATAGCCTACTTATACAAGGACAACATTTGAATGCGGTCTTTTGTGAATATGTGTAGCTTAAATGATCTTCTTCTGAAATGTTAATAAAAGTATTTCAATGTAGCCTATTACTGTTTTACTTTTATTATGAAACGCATGGCATTAAAAGAGAAAGTGTGCCTGCATGCAGTCACATATTGACTACTGTTTCTTTCTTTATAATTCAGTGACAACTAGATGGCGCAAACCGATTATACTTAGGTCTATCCTCTGGAAGCGTGTACACACACTGTGCAAACTGTGTTGCCATATTTCCCACAACATAATAGGGAATAGCCTACCTGAACCAAACACACATACACACTGGGTCTTTATACAATTACTGCACCATAGTACTTTTTTAAACGGGTATAGCAACATTTACTTTTCCTCTTTTAGACTAGGGGGTCCAGGGACCCCTAAGGCAAACTGTATAATCATAATAATAATAAATTAGATTAAAATAAACTAACAATACAATACTATAGTGAGTAGAAAAAATACCTAGAAAACAATTGATGTACGATATTATTTTTAGTGCATGATTTGGGGGTCTGTCTGTGGGGTCTAAAAGATTGAAAACCCCTGCTTTAGAGACTGTCAAATGTTTATTTTATGTGAGTTTCTTAAACAACACCCCCGAATGCGTTACAAAATAAGCTGCAAATGTGTTGGAAAATCCTGATTAGATTCTATCAGGCACAGCATGGAAAGGATGCACCTGGCAATGCCCTTTTCAACTCATGGGTAATGTCTGCACCGCAGGTGGCCTGTAGTTGATATCAGCTTAGCATTTGGTTAAGCAGGACAACCGTAACCCAGCTGCTCCATCATTTTAAAAGGGCAGGTGTGTTACCCAAAGCCTAAAATGCTCATTTCCATTCAGCATGCTTCAGCCGTTTTTTCCCCGGATGGTGCGTGTGGCTGTTTGCCAGGGGGAGGGTCGTATTCTTTTGCTTTGAGCACTTTCATCATGAATGTATGTATACACACACACACAGATTGGCCAGGCTACATCCAGGCACCCCCTCAATTCTCTTCATTGGCCTTATTCTCTTATGAGCTCAGTGCAGATGGCACATACCTTCTGCTGGTCTAATGGTTTTAACCTGGCCAGCCTCAGATTAGTGGCCCGGCTTCAACCAGGAAGTGCAGAGGCCACCTCCTGTAAAACATTCCTCTTCTGCAAATCTCCTTTAGACAGTATAGGGCTCCCCTCTTTAATCTCCCCGTGAGGTGCTATTTAATCAAATCATCCTCCATTGTTTTTACATGAATCAGTCGAAGAGCTTTTCACTATTTTGAGGGGAAGTCAGTGAGAAGGAGCAAAGGAAAAGTCTTTTGTTTTTCTTGTGGCCAATTTCCTGCATCAGACCAGTTTTGTCTTTGTTACTAACATTAACCTTCCTCCCGTTCCCCTCCCAAACCATCTGCCGCTGTGTGAGGGCAGCATAATTACCTCAAACAAGCCCCTTCCCCCAGACCACAGCCTCTGGGTTTCCTGATTAGATGGACCCCACTTCATACGACTCTCCCTCTTTACCTCAGACAAAGAAAAACAAATAGCATATTTAGTGCTGAATTATCGATTTAAAGGGCCAGGAATACATATATGTTGGTTTATGTTTATCACGTGATGTATTGCTTCATGCATATTCACTGATGTAAACTGACCCTGAAAACAACAAAATCCTTTACATCATAAGAAAATTATAAAATCAGAAGGTATCTGCAAGACTTTTCCCTCAAAACTAGTTCACACAAGTGTATTTCATCACATTGAACATGTTACATTAAAAGGCGGTAAAATTAAAACTACCATGAAAAATAAATACTTTACAATTTTATTATTACTGTTTTTTATGGTTTTTTGTATGAATGGTACATTTAAAGCAGCTATCTAACTTTGGGATAGGGTAGAGGTTCTCTCTCTCTCTCTCTCTCTCTCTCTCTCTCTCTCTCTCTCTCTCTCTCTCTCTCTCTCTCTACAGTAAAGCTGCCTGCCTCAGCCACATGATGTATACTAAGCTTCTTGCTGGCCAAACCCACTGTGTCTAAAAATAAATATGATATCCATCCCAGACAGAGTGGGTGAGTGTCTCTGTGATGGAGAGAGATGGCAAGAGACAGCTCTTCTGTAAAGCAAATATACATATAAACCAAAGCAAACCACATTAACAGACGCACCAAAGCCAATATAAAGCAATACCCTGATATTAAATGGCATTGTCACATGAAGTTGCACTAAACAAAAAAAATGTACATCCAAATCATACAGTCATCTCCAACACTCTTTTAACTCTGATGCATATGAGCAAATGTTCCCAATAAGAGTCTTTGGATTAGGGATGCTGTAATCTCCGCACTGGTTTCAGACAACCAATGTGTGTGATTTCTTGGACATGGATTACTTCTGACCTGTGTACAAACACAGCTCAATGCTGCCTGCTGCAATTTTATCAAGCCTTTCAAGCCAAGATAAAGAGATCATGAGTGAATATTTGTGGAGACAAAAAGAAATGTCAGACAAGAAATATTAAGCTTTCTAGTTCCATTTATCTCAACATTTAGTCAAAATTGAGTTTTTATTTTATTTTATTGTGAGTTTCTTTCTTCTGCTAAACACTGAAAAATATATTTTGAAGAATATTGGTAATCAGACATTGGATGGTAACCATTGACTTCAATGATAGGAAAAAAATGCTATAAATGCTACAACTGTTTGGTTACTGACATTCTTCCAAATATATTCTTTTGTGTTCAGATAAACGCATACAGGTTTGGAACAATTTGCGGGTGAGTAAATGATGATCAGTTTTGGGTGAACTATCCCTTTAAAGGAGTAGTTCACTTTTAAAAAAACTTTTTCTGATTATTTACTCACCCCCATGTCATCCAAGATGTCCACGTCTTTCTTTCTTCACTCGAAAAGAAATGAAGGTTTTTGATGAAAACATTCCAGGATTTTCCTCCATATAATGGACTTCAATGGGAACCAAACGGTTTAAGGTCCAAAAGACAGTTTCGGTGCAAACTGCAAACTGTTCAAAGGGCTTTAAACGATTCCAGATGATGAATAAGGGTCTTATCAAACGAAACGATCACTCATTTAAAAAAAAAAAAAAAAATTAAAGTTTAATAAGCTCAAACGCTCATCTTGCTCGGTTCTGTGATTCGCGTGCATGACTATCCTGTTCGAACTCGTTCATCAAAATGAACGAATCTTTTCCTGAGACGCTTATTCATCGTCTGGAATCGTTTAAAGCCTTTTGAACAGTTTGCACTGAAACTGTCTTTTGGACCTTGAACCGTTTGGTTCCCATTGAAGTCCATTATATTGAGAAAAATCATGAAATGTTTTCATCAAAAACTTTAATTTCTTTTCAACAGAAAAAGAAAGACATGGACATCTTGGATGACATGGGGGTGAGAAAATTATCAGCAAAAGTGAACTACTCCTTTAACTACTTGTTCTTAAATATTTATAAAATTATCTTACATCAGTTGAAAGTTATACATGAATATTCATGACAAAACTATGTTTTTGTCAAGAATTATACTGAATATAAACCTTGCATTAACATGCATTGTATAGATATCCATCTTCCATAATAGAAAGCAGTCTGTGAGAAAGTGAACCTCACTTCTCACTGTTGCGCGCTCCCGCATTGACTGAAGGATTATACGCGAGAGCGGGAGAGACTCTGGACATTTGCATACACATTTGCACACACACACATGCTCCTAGATAAAAATGATGCCGGGCTAATTATATTATTTTGTGAAGGTGTAAGGATCGCTAGTGAACACGGTCGGGAGGGGTGTGTGTAAAGAGAAGGCTGGCGCGAGGCTAGGCGCCGTTAACTCATTCGAGTTGGTGTGTTTGTAACGTGGGTAGTCCGCAATTTCATTCATAAAACTCAAACCTAATTTGTCACTGCTTATAATTTCTTATTTTTCCATCTACATGACATATAGTGCGGTACCCACTAGTTCATGTCCCATTTACTCAATGTTTCTGTCTAAAATCCTAGTAAATTCATACATATTGTGACTCACGCATTTCCTGCATCCCGGTCCGGTTCAACTGATTCCTATGCGGATGCGCGCGCCGCTGTAGGGGCAGTATTTATCCGTGTCATGGGACAGAGGGTGCAGAGCATTGTTCACAGGGGTGTTTGTTTGTAATAATGTTTTGTATGTATGTCGTTGGTGTGAGTAGATGGTATCAATGAGGTATAAAATGATGGTGATATGATGATTATTATTTTATTTACATGTAATGTTTATTTACTATTCAGATTAGAGCTTATTTGTGGCCTTAAGCTTAATGTTATACCCTGATTGTTGGTATGGTCCAATTTGGCTTAATGCTTTGGCCTATTTAAGAGAGCCTCATTTTGCTTTTGGGAGAGAGAGGAGTACTAGCTTGTTGTGAGGCTATGTACAAAGTGTTGGCTGTAATATTGGTGAAAGCCAGAGGCATTATGCTGTTTTGATTTTTTTTATTTTTTTTGTTTTTCTTGACTTCTGAGTTAAAATCTAAATAAACTTTA